GCAAAGATTTCGGCTTTCTTAAAGCAACAAACGCAAGAGAAGTTTTTTGCTATCTGGGACAAATGGATAAAATTTATACAATTTAGATTGGGTATACAAAAATATCATATAGCTTTTTCATAAGTTTTATTTTTATATATATTATAGATATCTTTTTTATATATATAAATATAAAGTTTTTAATTTAATTTTTATTTTTTTTTATTTCTTAAGCCTATATTCTGCTCTGGGAAGCTCAGGGGGGGGAAGGGAGGGTTTTTGGGAGGGGTGTGGGGTGGGGTTTTTTTTTTTTATATGTATTGTTTAATTTTTTTTTCTTTTGTATATGTTGTTTTTTGTTCTGTATTGTTCTTGTTTTTCTTGTAAAATTTATAAAACTTTTAATAATAAAAAAAAAAAATGTTTGCACTTTTCCACACTTATTGTGTCTGCAGAATCTCGCCCCGCCACCCTGTTTAGGGTGACCCGTTCCCTACTTAATGTTCGAGAAGCTGGGGAGCCCTTACACGGTAGAGTGGAGGAATTTGTGCAATTCCTATCAGACAAAATCGCTCGGATTCGGACAGACCTAGATTCCGATTGGGCAGGGCCTTTTGAGATGACTGGGGCAGGTCTTAGCTCAGTTCTATGGGATGAATTTGAGTCTGTGACCGCTGAGGAAGTTGTCAGAGCGGTGGGAGCAATGAGCGCCCCTACTTGTTTATTGGACCTGTGTCCTTCCTGGTTGGTCTTGGCTGCCAAGGAGGTGACACGAGGCTGGCTCCAGGTGTTGATCAACGCTTCGTTGAGGGAGGGGTCTTTCCCGCAATCCCTGAAGGAGGCAGTTGTGAGGCCCCTGCTCAAGAAGCCTACCCTGGACCCGGCTGATTTAAATAACTTCCGTCCAGTCTCTAATCTCCCCTTTGTGGGGAAGGTTGTAGAGAGAGTGGTGGCACTCCAGCTCCGATGGTCTCTGGATGAAGCGGATTATCTAGACCCTTTTCAATCTGGCTTTAGCCCCGGCTTCAGCACAGAAACCGCTTTGGTCGCGCTGATGGATGATCTCTGGAGGGCCTGAGACAGAAGTTATTCCTCTGTCTTGGTGCTACTTGACCTCTCAGCGGCTTTTGATACCATCGATCATGGTATCCTTTTGCAACGACTCGAAGGGGTGGGAGTGGGAGGCACTGTTTTACGGTGGTTCTCCTCCTACCTCTCTGGCCGGTCGCAATCGGTATTGGTGGGAGGGCAGTGGTCAACCCCGAGGCCCCTTGAACGCGGCGTGCCACAGGGGTCGGTCCTCTCTCCCTTCCTATTTAACATTTATATGAAGCCGCTGGGTGAGATCATCAGACAGCACGGGGTGAGGTTTCATCAGTATGCTGATGATACCCAGTTATATATCTCCTCCCCGAGCTCTCTCAGTGAAGCGGCCGATGTGATGGGCCGTTGCCTCGAAGCCGTGAGGGTCTGGATGGGGGTTAACAGACTCAGGCTCAATCCTGACAAGACCGAGTGGCTTTGGATGTTGCCTCCCAAGGATCATGTCGACTGTCCAGTGTTGACTCTTGCGGGGGAAAATATACCCCCTTCGGAGCGGGTTCGCAACTTGGGTGTCCTCCTTGATCCACAGTTGAATTTGGAACATCAATTGACGGCTGTGGCTGGGAGTACCTTTGCACAAGTTCGCCTGTTGCACCAGTTGCGACCCTACCTGGACTGGGAGACTCTCCTTACAGTCACTCACACCCTTGTCACCTCACGTTTGGACTACTGCAACACGCTCTACATGGGGCTACCCTTGAAAAGTATTCGGAGACTACAGTTGGTCCAGAATGCAGCCGTGCGAGTGATAGTGGGTGCTCCTCGATACACCCACATTACACCTATCCTCCGTGAGCTGCACTGGTTGCCTATTGGTCTACGGGTCCAATTCAAGGTTTTGGTCATTACCTTTAAAGCCCTATATGGCTCAGGGCCAGGCTACTTGTGAGACCACCTACTACCTCATAGTTCCCTACGTCCGGTTAGATCCCACAGGCTGGGCCTCCTTCAGGCCCCGTCGGCCAAGCAGTGCCATTTGGCAGGGCCGCGGAGGAGGGCCTTCTCTGTGATGGCACCCACGCTTTGGAACCAGCTCCCCCTGGAGATTAGGACCGCTCCCACCCTGTTGGTCTTCCGTAAGCTACTTAAGACCTGGCTTTTCCGGCAGGCCTGGGGTTTATAAAACCTGACCCCTGGATGATTGTCTTTGTACTGTTGTTCTGTTATGTTTTATGTGTTTCTTATTGTTAGCCGCCCAGAGTCCTTCGGGAGTGGGGCGGCTTATAAATTTTAAAAATAAATAAATAAAAATAAGTTTGTTCAGTGAATCGCTGCAGTTGTTAAGTTAGAGTAACATGGTTATAAAGTGAATCTGGCTTTCCCCATAGACTTTTGCTTGTTAGAAGATCGCAAAAGGTGATCACATGACGCCAGGACACTGTAGCTGTCATAAATATGAGTCAGTTGCCAAGCGTCTGAATTTGGATCATGTGACTATGGGGACACTGCAACGGTTGTATGACGAACGGCCATAAATCACTTTTTAAAGTGCTGTTGTAATTTCAAACAGTCACTAAATGAAAGGTTGTAAGTTGAGGACTACCTGTATATATTTAAAAAACAACAACAAGGGGATATCTTACTCCCCAATCAGTATTGAACAATTCACTAAGCATTCCATCTATACCGGGGCAGGGAACCTTGGCTCTTTTGTGACTCGTGGACTTCAACTCCCAGAATTCCTCAGCCAGCATGGCTCAGCTTGGAAACCTCTCCCTTTTCCCTCAGCATGGCTGGCTCAGGAATTCTGGGAGTTGAAGTCCACGAGTCATAAAAGAGCCAAGGTTGCCTACTCCTGATCTATACCTAAGCCCTAGACTTACAACAAGTCTCTTTGCGACCATTCAAAGTTACAACTCCCTCTCCCAAAGTTACTTATGACCTGGTTCCGAAGTTCCAATGGCCAGGGGCCCTTGGTCACATGACCATATGTGGGGCACTTGGCAATCATTCTGCATTTAGGGCCATTTACAGTATTCTACAGTCACTTTACTGCCATTTATGACCTTTTTTGCCAGAAACCAGCATTTATTTCCAATTTTCAACTAACAGCACACATGGCAAACAAAAAGGGTTCACTTAATGACTATGGTGTTTGCTTTACAACTGTGGTGTTCACTTTACGACCATTGCAAAAACTCATGAAATTGAAGTCAGTCTTATGATGACCCACTTTACAACCATCAAGATTTATAACCAGACGCAATTACAGTCCTAAATCAAGAACTACCTATACATGCTTTATTTCTATTATATATTGTTTTTACCACATTCAACAACCAACATTAAACTCCATATTGTCAAGTACCAGGGAAATCAGGAGATTCAGGCAGTTCAAATGAGAATAAAGATTTACTGCAACCTTAAGCTCTCAACAAGAATCTGAGCTACTAACGGTCAGGGGAAATTAGCAGGAGTTAAGAATAGAAAGGAATTCAAAGTGGGCTGATTTAGATCTCTTGTGGGCATGCAGAGACTCCTAATTGATGATACATTTGATCCCCTCCCTGGGGCTCAACCTGGTAATCTCCTACACATATTCATGTAAGACATTTCAGAATTTCATCTATTCGTTTTATTGTACACTTTTTCTAAATCAACAAGAATAGAATAAACTTTCTGTTTTAATCTTACATTTCTCAATCAACAACTAGAAAGGAAAGTGCCTGGCATAAAGCCACACTGTAACTTTCCAAATGTTACTCAATGTCATCCCTCATGCCGTCAATCAGAATTTTGCTGAGCACCACCTCATGCTCATTTAACAAACTAAATACCCTTTAATTTTACATTCATTCTTGTTACTTCTACCTTTGCATATAGGGCATAAAAATAGGATTCTTCCAGTATTCATCTGGAGATGCAGCCTTTTCATTGCACTCATTAAACAAACATAGCCTCTCCATAAAGGAAACCCTCTATATCAGGGGTGTCAAACTCGCAACATCATGTGATATGTCGCGACGTATCGTGACTTTTTCCCCATTGCCGGCAATGGGGTGGGCGCGGTTTCGGCATGACACATCTGGCCCATGGGCCAGCAGTTTGACACCCCTGATCTATATTTTAACATTTCTCCTGTTAAAGGTAGTCCTTGCTTAGCAACCACAACTCCATTGCTAAGTACCCTGGTCACTAAGCGAAATATCATGTGACTGCAATGAGCTTCCAACCTCACTTCCCTGTTAATCGTTAAGTGAATCATTTCAATTCTTAAGCAAAACATCAAGTCTCTATGACTTATGATTTTACTTCTGCCTTCCATATTAATTCTGTTTGTTGCGAATACAGTTGCAAAGCGCACAGATGGCCATCACGTGACCATGAAATGCTGTAACAGTTCTAAATGTGAGGATGGTTGCAAAGCTTTTTGTTTACATGATTGTAACTTTGAACAGTTGTTAAACAAGGCATTTTGTAAGTGAGGACGACCTGTACACCATCTACACTTATTATTTCTCAACATTTTTTTAGCATGTATGACATCCTTTTTAATCAGTTTTTTTCTTGAACATTAACATTTATAGTAGTTATTTCAATTCCAAACTTATACGTTACTATCATTCAAACATTTAAAATAGTTCTTTAAGCATTCCTTCAGTTCAATTTTATCCTAAATAAGTTCTTAATTTTTATTTCTAATTCCATTCTCTCTATCAGAGGCACCCTTAGCCATTTCCACCCAATTTCCAAAAGTGTTTTATTTCCATTAAAATTCCCCCGCATTTTCTTTGCTTCATTTAATCTTCCTGCCTCTATTTGATTATATTCTTTCCAGCTGTGTTTTTTTTCTTTGACTACATTATACAACATCTTCCTCTCATCCTCATTTTTGCAGAAATAGTTTTCTTACATGCACTTTTTCATTAGCCACAGTTTCTTTACTTCGTTATTCTACTAAGCAACTTTTTTCTTACTTTACACTTCAGACCCTTGTGTGGCACTTTGTAACTGTGTTCAGTTCTTTTCATTGTGTTGAAAGCAGCTTCCTCATTTCTTTTCCTTATGTTCACTTTCTGTTCAGAATTGCATGTAAATGGAAATCAGAAAAATCCATAGGCAATTTATAAAGGTTTTTTTTTTAAAAAAATACTGATTTTAAAATATTGTTATGTAACATTCGTAGCAACAAAAACAAAACAAAACAGAACTCTAAAATGCTCCATTAATATAAGCTGAAAATCTAAAAATGAGAACTGACACTACACAATGAGATCCAGTATTTCTGGGGAAAAATACAGAGAAACCTGGGTAATTTCCTGCTACTTTAAAAACAAAAGTATTTTATATACAATTGCTCAAATCTCCACTTTTAATCATGAAGCACAATTGTGTAAGCAGCACTGATAACAATTATACTTTGAATAGACTTTGATCTAGTTTTAATACCAATAAGAATACAGCTACTAAAGCAAAAAATAATAAAATAATTGTAAGAATATGCATATAAAATTGTCATGGCCAATTTTATATACAAGCTGTTAAGAACTGCATTCCAATCCACTGTGTATCAACAACAGTTCAATTTGTTTGAAAGCTTTTGCACTTTTAAATAACACAAACAGATCCCTACATTTAAGAATTCTTTGTAGTGTGAGATGACATGATGGAAAATAAGACAACCAACTCTTCCTTTGCAGAAACCAAGCATGAAGGTCAGTTTAAAAGGATGTCTTGTACTGTGCTTAGAATTCTGAGGTTGGTGCTTTTGTGCAACCTATTTTTCAATAGGCATTTGGCTCACATATCGGAGATGCTTTGTATGTACAAGGAAGCAGCGTGAAAAAAAATGTAAGTGACCTATACCGTCACTTGGCAGGCTTCTGGGTCTCATCAAAAGAAAGGGATATGCATTCCCACATAGCACTCTGGACAAGATGTGAAAGTACAATGAGAGAAAGTACAAGCAATCCTTTCATTGCTTTTTATGTGCTGTAAGGTCTGATCTGAGGTATATTATTGACCACAGTCCCTTACAAAAAGTGTGAAGGGACAGCACAGAGATGAAAGTAATAATATGTGCTATTTATCCATTCCAACAAGTCTGGTAAAAAAAAATATCCAAAGTAAAAAAACCACAGATTAATTGCTGCATAATCTCTGAACTTTTCCCAAGAAGAAGGAATAACAGGAAAATACTTGAGGCAGTGTCCTGGATTCATGAAAGATTATACCATACTTACATTCATTTTTATATTGCCAATAGACCCAGCTGGTCTCCACATACCCCACATCACTGTAGCATTAAATCTGTGGGGCCCATTATCCTTGTTGGAGAATAAAGCTACCATACAATAAGGCCAGAAGTAGTACTAAGCATATTCATATCTTTTTTTCTGAACTGTCCCTAATCACTTCCAAATGGAAGGCTTTTCAAGGTTTTTTTAAAGAGTACTTAACCCAGAGGTTTTTTCTTCCTTAATAGCTTCTTAATAGGCAACTCCCGCCTGTTTAGAAAACCAGAAGGGTTATAAGGTGAAGAAAAAAGAGTATGAAACTTCTCTGTTTGTGAACATAATATGACAGCATGATCAGGCCTTATTTGGAAACATCTGTGGTTCAAAATTAATATTTTCTATTTAATTCACATGCCACACCAGAAATATTTATGGAGCTACCATCATGACTTCATTCCTATTTGTAACAGCATTGGATGTCAAAATCCCATTCTGGATTTTCATAGATCCAGGATTTATAACAAAGTACAAAACTATACCATGCCAACAGAGCAATATATTTTGTTTTCCTGTTTAACTATTTGAAAGCTGAAACATCTTCCACTGAATATTTGGTGGCATCATGCTCAACTATATTTTTAAAAATTGGGCTCGTTAAAAAGAAGATATCTTTCTCAAAAAACAATTGTGATTTTATCAACTGTATTGCTTTAAAAAAAGTATTTTATGAATGCATCCCCTCTGTCTTCAGTAGCAGTATTTATACCTACAGGTATATTAATGTCCTTAACACAGAAACTACAAATGTTAATGGGTAGCTCACTTTCAGGACCTCACGTGTTCATACATGATGCATAGAGCAGCCCATCATAAGCTTGTTCTAAGCACTGTGAGAATAACAAGTCCTAAACCCCACTGGCATTATCTCAGTACTATTAAACAATTACTTCCTTCTTAGCTCTCTGCCCAGCCTCAGCTCCAGCCCCCCCCAGCCCCCCCCTACTCTCCACTTGTATCTGAAGTATCCACCTGAGGAATACAGTCCTATCAACACTCATACAAGAATTATTCACCTGCCCAGGATCTGTCTTCCATTCTACAGGGGAGGTACAAGGTTGCCACTACTATACAGTATCTCTTTTATCATGCATATATTAATTATTTTAAAGCATTCAGCATGAAAGGCTGGAGGCAAGGGAGCCCAGATTTTAGTGCAATCTTTCTCCGTAAAGTAGGGGATGAGATCTTTTTTAAAATGTGCAACTGCATAATCAGCATTTATGCAGAGCACTCCATGTATGTTAATTGCCAGGAGGAGAAAGCAAAGAAAGAACACGTTCTTCTGTGAACGAAAAACTGTGATTCAGCAAATCCTCTAAATCAGGATTCAATGTATTCATTTCATTGATATCCTGCCCCAAGCAGCTTGGGCCTGGTATACATGGTTCCTCCCATTTGTCTTTTCAATAATCCAAAATGTAAGTTGACAGGTTAGGCTGAAAGCTGGCAATTTGCCAAGGGCCCCTGATTTATCTATTTCTATTTTTGCCCCAAGCCAAAGCAACGTAACATTAAACTATTTTATAATATATAATTGTACTGACAGTAACATAGCTATCATTCCTCCAGATATGTAACATAATCTTAAATTAAAATTAACATATACATGCACACACACACACACATACCCAAAACACACTTTCTCAAAAAGTTCATATAAAAGGAAAATTCATCTCACCCGGTTTGATCTGACATCAATGGTCAATGCGCTAGCTTCTTCAGAGGTATTTTTATTCCCTGTCTTGAGTAGATCAGGAGAAGGAACTATAAGTTTTAAGAAAGTTTCCTTTTTGGCTTGATTTACCAAAGACAAAGGGTTCACATTGGGCACCAATCCAGTAGACTGTATTACACTTGTGTGTTTGTTCACAGATTCCACCTTTGCCTGAGAGCTTTGGAAAATAAAGGGAAGTTGCTGTGACAAAACCTGAGGCTGCTTCTGCTGGGCCTGGAATGATGAGTGAGTCTGGCTATCAGACGCAAGAGGTATTGGCTGGTGTGGTCTCTTTTCCTGGGGCATTTCCTGGGATTTCTGTCCATCTCCTTTCATGTCTGGTCCACTATGCATTAGCACCTGTAAATATGGAAAAATAGCTTGTTGGAGATATAGGGGTGCTTGAACTATAAGCCACCAAAATAAGATAGGCTTGAACTGGCTCTGGCCCCCAAGCCCTTTTTAATGCCAAGGAATTGTGAGGTCCTAGCCATAAAAAGGGGTACTTTCTTGTGATTACAAGCAATTTCAAATAAAATAAAATAATAAAATAAAATAATACTGTATCCATACAAGTGCATACAGGTAACAAATCATTTTTAAATGAATCCCTAAGTATCATTACTAACAAAATAGTATTAGTATTATTTCATCCAAGTACCATAATGACATACTTGATTGTCACTGGCACACACCCACAACAGGCAGGCAAGCAGACACACCCATCCACTCATAACTACTTTAAACATAAAATAACCTTACAATATATCTTCTTTGGCTTATTTCCCACAAAGTCCTTTTACAACATCAAGTTACAGTTTCTAGGATAGTGAAAAAATACTATGGAAAAATCAGTTATTTTTGAATGTATGTCACACGATTAACTTAACGGAACATTAAAGATTACATTCTGGTTACTGGTTACTGGACAGTATAACTGCTCTGCAAGGAAAAGAGGAGCTGTAAACAGAATTCAGTAGTCATGGCAACACTCAGGACACCCAAACCTTTGCGACACAGAATATTTCATTTGCTTGATATCCATGGGCCCGTTTACAACCTAGATTTCCCCTTTTAGAAGAATATAAACCTGTACTTTGGCCAGCTAATTTAAGGCGTTTACTTTTTTATCCTAAACAGAGTCATTTGGGAGCATATTTTACTGAAATCCAAGGGGATTTTTTCCCCAAAACAGAAGGACTAGATTATGCTGTGTTTCTTTCTTTCTTCCTTTTTTTTTTTGACACTTTAAATGCGCCGTTCAATCTAAAATGCAGTTTAGACTGAGGCTTGCAGAATAATAAACTCAAGTCAGTAAATCATTAAAGGGTACGAAAACATGGTATCTTTTACTCTTTACACTGGCTTGTTGGTTTCACTCCATTTTAAAAATATGGAACAGGTTTCTGAGAACAGCTGGCTATTTCTATGAATGCTTTGTGTGGTTTGGGATTTCGATTCCCAGGCAACCCAACACGTTAATATATCAGGACAGAAAAGCATCAGACTTAAAACCTGCCCTGTTGTTCCAACCACATTGAGAACTTTGAAAGGGAGCACATTTAATAACTAATAATTCATGATATCCAATGCAACCTTACAAAGAGTCCCATAAATCAAACAAATGCCCTGTAAAAAAAAAAAATATCTAGCAGTTCAAGGCAGCTTGTGATATGAACACACCTTGTTCTTATTTTTCGGCTGTGCTTCATTCTCAGAATCTGAATCATCATCTTCACTTTCTTCAATGCTTTGATCATCTTCTTCTTCCTCCTCTTCTTCCTCTTCCTCTTCTTCCAAGTCATCTGAGTCGCTGCTACTGATGCCTTCACTAGAGGTGTCTGAGGAGGAGCCAGAATCACTTTCACTGTTGCTGGAACTATCCACTGCTTTCTTTCTGGGTTTCTAGGAAGGAAGGTTGAGTGTTGAAATATTTTATTATTAGAAATATTCAGCTCTTACTCCTATTGAGATTTATCTTACAATGAGCTGGCATGAATTTTAGAATTCAGTTGGGTTTTACTTAGATAACCAGTTTGTTCCACATTATGGGAAATCTGTTATCTTCAATTCCCCATCTGCAAAACGGGGATATCTAATTCTATTTATTTGTTGAATTTATAATATCACTATTCCAGGAGCTAAAAGCAGAATTCATAACATTCCTTCCATTTTTTTCTCACAACAACCCTGTGAGAAAAACTGGGTTGAAAGAGTTACTAGCCCAAAAATAGCCAATAAGTTATGGACAGAGTTGAACCTTTATCTCCTCAGCCTTAGTCTTAACCATTATATCACATTGCAATAAACCTAATAAAATGAAGGCTGCAAAATGTTCTGCAAATATGTAATGCTGGCCAGCTGACAGCCCCCGCTGATATGAATCTGGTATCTTCTAGTTGTGCTGGGACATATATCAATGCTGGCAAAGATTAATTTGGAAAATAATATCTTTGTTCAGCGAAATGATTTAATCAGTTGCTGCAAAATACCGCACATTAAATTTAGGAAATTATGCTCGTACAAAGCAGAGATATGCAACAGCCATGTTTTTATATCACCCCACCTACCCATCCCATAATTGCTGTAATATCTACCACATTAGACAATCTGGCAAGAACAAGCCATTTCTTCTTACTGAAAAGCACATGGTTTTATATACTGTAATTGCTCTGATGTGTGCTATTGCACAAAAAGAAAAAAAAAAGTTTGGCATAAAATCATGACAGAGAGACCAGCTTCCAAATGTGAACTGTTTTGGTAGCTCATAACACTCCACACCATACAAACATTAAATACAGACTAGAAACATCTGAACACATGTCATTAAAGTACAACACTTGCTTAATATTATCAGATGTGAGTTGGAACATACATATTGATCTTTATTACAACATGGATAGAATGGCATATCCATAATCACAACTCCTGCTTGAAGAGGAGGTGATAGCTGTTGCCAAGAGGACCTTTGCACAGATGCACCTAGTGTGCCAGCTGCCCCCTTTCATGACTTCAGAGAGTCACTCATGCCCTGGTTATCTCACAAATGCATTACTGAAATGCACTGTAGATGGTGCTGCCCTTGAGATCAATTTGGAAGATAGAGCATGGGAAGTTTTGGGCATTCCTTATTATGCCCATATGACTCAACTGCTCCACAAGTGGAAACTGATTACCAGTTGGTTTCCAATTGCAATTCAGAGTGCTAGTTATCACCTAGAAAATCCTGTATGGCATACGGCTTATTTATTTGAGGAATCGCTTTTCTTTAGTTGTTTCTGTCTGAGAGTCAAAGCTATTATATTGTAGAATATATTTAGTATAATACAGTGGTTCTCAATCTTTTTAGACTGGCAACCCCAGTCATGAGCAGGCGACGCGCATGCGCGGTGGCGCCCCCCTGCGCGGCACACATGCGCGGTGGCGCCCCTGCACGGCACGCATGCGTGGCACCGCCCCCTGCGTGGCACGCATACGTGGCGCCACCCCTGCGCAACATGCATGTGCAGCAGCGCCCCTGCGCGGCACGCATGCACGGCGGCGCCCCATGCACCGCCCCTGCGTGGTGCGCATGTGCGGTGCGTATGCGCGGCACCACCCCATGCGCCGCCCCTGCGCCGGCTGAGAAAAAAATGGCGGATTGCGTTGTTTGGCGACCCCCGTGAAATGGTCGTTCGACCCCAAATGGGGTCGCGACCCACAGGTTGAGAACCACTGGTATAATAAATTCCCAAGTAAGCATACACAAAATTTCATCATTCTTACCAAAACTTTCTCTTTCTGTTTCTTTCTCTTTTCCCCATTGTTTAGGCTTGTCTACTACTCCAATCAGTTACTATATTATTCCCATGTTTTTATAATTTTCCATCATAAAGATATTGCAATACCCATTCTGTAATATAGCAACAGTGAAGCTCCAATCCATAAGCTTACCCAGACTAGCCTTTCAGCTTGCAGGCTCTCAAAGCAAGTTTATTCCCTACACAACTGCTACCCCAAGTCCCAAACCCATACTCAGCATTTCTGAAGGGCAAAGTCTTGATTTATACAGAATGGTTTTAGGTATTTCATGTCTTCCCTCAATGAATGGTTCTTCTCAATTTCAACTTCATCGAAAATGATAAGGATACTTAAAATTGCTCCTAGATGAGGTCTAAGAGTACTGTTCATAATACATATTTCAGACCTGATCCTTTTCTAACTTTATGTAGCAAAGATATTATAGGCAACACGTTATCGCCATCCTAAGAGTGCATTAAATCTCATGCCCCCCTGGGAATAACCATCCTGAGTAGCAGACATACCAGTTATAGCTCACAAAAGGGATGACATTTATACAAGGATTTTCCCTTACAATCTGAATAACTACATCTTGTCTTAAAATTTACCCTGGTTTTTTTTTCATTCTTTTTACCTTGTCTTTAATCTTGGCAGCTCTTGCATCCAGACCCTGGTTTTTATTTTGTTCCTGGTTACATTTGCGGCTTCCTCCTACTGAGATTATAACTTTTGCCTGTCCTGCAGAACTTGCAGTGGTGGTGGATAACACAGAGGTGTTGATGCCTGATACTGAAGTGGTACTATTTCCATTTACAGATCCATTAACACCTTGAAAAACAAAAGTTATGTTTATTTTTTTTTCTTTTTAGTTACAGTCACATAAGCCTCAATGAAAAGATACATGTTGAAAGAACTCTATGTCTATCAGAAAGCTATCAAACAATTTTCTTTTTTAAAGAAGCACTACAAAAGAAACTACTTTGCTTAAATTGGTCCTTTTTTACAGAAAGGAAAGGAAAGGAAAGGAATGGAAAAGAAAGGAAAGGAAAGGAAAGATATAATTACCACAATAATCACAACATTTTTCCAGATATGTTAATCTTACTTAACAGAAACAGCAAAAATATAAACTTTTTCTAAAGATTGGGAAAGGCGTGGGACAGCCATTAAGAGGGGCAGGAAAGAGTGAAGGGTGTTAAGGGGGAATTTTGTGAAAGATTACATAGTTCTGAGACAGAAGGAAGTGAGAGAAAAAGTTCAAAATAATTATATCTTGATTCTGCTTAACATTTGAAGGGACAGAAATGGACTTTCGAGATTCTTTTATTTCACCTTCCTACAATAAACAACGTTGCTTGAATTCCTGCCATGCCTGCTACTTGATCTAGCCTACACTGAAAGAAGGCAAAAATCATGCATAAGCAATACATTAACAACTGAATGTCCCAAGTTATTAATCTGACAATTACTTAACAGAAAGAGATTCATGCAAAAGTTTATAGTATTGCAATTATCAATACCAAAATAGATGAATACAAAGCCAAAGAGGACATTTTTTCCTCTAAACATAAAAGTATCGTCTTTTTCTGAGTATCTGTTCCCAAAATTCTCAGCAGAATCTATCACATTGAATTTATTTTTATCTAGAGTTATTAAATCAAATGCTGGATTTTATGAACGAGGCTTCTACTGTTTTATTATCTACGGTTTGTAAGAGATGATGGGTAAGACTAGCTATCTGCCGTTTCCTAACCATATTAAAAGATGTTTGACTGTACACATGGCTGTACTAGTGTTGAATGTATGCTGAAGACTATGGTTCATAAAGGAAGTAAAATCAACAAAGAAATGGATCTAGAGAGACCACTTTAATAGCGTTAATTTAATATAAAAAGGTCAAATTATTATTAATTAATTTATAATTTATTGTTATATAATGGTATAATTTTTATAAATTGTATAAATAATTTATGTGTAATTTACATATATTATAATATACATTGTTATATATTTAATAATATAAAGTCTACAAATTTCAAGTTAACGTTTGATATATTTTGGTATATCATACATAGTTAGTTCAGTTTGGAGTCTTGTGGTGGCTACAAGAGTAGCAAACATGATTGAATAAACTGGCATGGAACCATTCTGATGAAGTGGGCTGTGATTAACAAAAGCTTCTGTGATAACAAATGAACAATTCTTTACAGTATCACAAGACTCACTGTCATATTTTCTGCAAAACACTAACATGACTTCCCATCTGGTAGTAGGTTAATTATATAGGGTTTTTCCCCCCCCCCAGTATTACCTCTATCGACAGGCCATGATCAATGCAAGTTCCAATACTGCAATATTCAACTTAGCACAATTTATGTATTGATTCAGGTACCTGTACCATACCATTTAACGTGAGCCAAAATCCAGTTAGTGCAAGGCTAGCAAGCAGGTGGTTGAGGTTAATGACAGTACATTTGCTTTTGGGATTTTGAATACTAATTATTGTGCATGCAAAATGGAAAAAAAGGAAAGTTCTGTTCAAGGAATCTCAAAAAAGAGGTTTATTTTGAAAAACTATAGCAGGATACCGATGTTAGCAGGTATGCTTTGGGTATGCATTTATCTTCCAGCTTGTCCTTTATTCACCTGATGATTTATTTTTAAAATTTATAAGATCTATTTATCTAGTAGATTATAGGAATGATGTTTAGATATTTTTGGTTTTATTTTGCTTTCTATAACTAAATTGGGGCTTTGCTAAAAATAAATTTTAAGTATATTCTCTTAATCTTTTACTGTTATATTCATCAATAAACATATAAAACTGCCTATTTCCACTGAATCAGAGCCAGTTATCCTATTTTCCATAGAAATATCACCTTGAATAGTGCAAATTCAAATAAAGTGACTGAGTTAGTTGAGAATAACTGTAGATATTAATTCATCATTTTTTATGTGAAGAGGACAGATTACCACCTCTCACCTAGAAGGAAGAAAATCCTTCCTTCTCTTTCACTTTCACTATTTGTAGATATATTTACAATATTTATAGCATAATTAAGTATAATTAGATATACCGAATTCTTGTCTGACTTGAAATTTATTTCTAAGCAGACAAGTGCCCATTGAAACTACAGCTCATGTCCTGCTATAGTGTATCTTCTATAAGGATTCACAGACTCATTTTATAACACCTCACCTATTAAAATACCCAGGAAATATTGATATCTTTTATGTACAACTACTGTTATCAGATCAGTATGTAGTAGTTCTTTGAATTTTTTTGTCACACTGTATGCAAAATTAGGCAGACTAACTGCCCCCTGGTAATCAACCACTAATTGTAATATATTATTTGTCTGCTTTTATTTTTACTGTTTTTAATGCTTTTATTTTTAATGCTGTTCTGTAACCGTAATGAAACTTGATTGATTATTTCTAAGATGTATTCAAGCTTTGAATACCAAAATCCCCCTTTCTTGTAGGTTTGTGGATACATCTGAGTTGAACTGGGAATCCAAGAGAAATATAAAGTATCTCTCTAGCTTTATGCATGCACACACACACTCACCCCTTCCAGTCCCGGGCAGGATGCTGTGGGCATGTCTCATTCAGAGCTTACCTTTCTCCAAACTTCCTCGTGCACTTTTTCCTGGGGTCCTTGAATGGAATGCAGTAGAGTCATGATTTTGGGCGGGAGGGGCAAACAGAGGAGAGATTCCAAGTAGCGGTGGGAAAAATGTAGTGCCAGTACGGGAGTGCACATCTGCATTCCGCCACCATTCTGCATATTCAATGCAAAGAAAATGAAAATAAAAGTCATATTATTTATTCTGCTTTTGCACTTTATGTGTTCTTGTGGCTACATAATCATATACAGATCTCAAACGTTAATAATGCACAAGTCAATACTGTTAAGTATCAAGAGCTCCTGCACTTAAAATCTATATGAGGCTATATCTTTCTTTAATGTTTTGAACTTTAAATATGCCCCTTTAATTTCCCAATTTTTAACACTGTATCTTTACATTTAATTTATACATATATTTTCGTCAATCAAATGTTGTGTACCACTCAAAAGTACGTTACAACGTTTTGCAAATAAAACAGAAAAAATGTAATTATTACAATTATGTGCAGCATCTACTAAACAGAGAACAAAAAAAGATTCAGCAACAAAACTGGTCTCAACATGCAAGAGGCAGAAATCATTGACTGCAGGCAAGGAGAGATTTGTGTAGGAATTGGCATCTGAAGGGTGTAGCAAACCTTTTTTTTTAAATGCTGTAGGGAGGGTATGAGTTGCTACTTAGGTTTTGTTTCAAGTGCTACAAAATATTGGAATGATATTGATAAGCAACTGAGATCTTCTGCCATATTGATGCCTAGGTATTCTGAGGAACTATACAACATGACGGTGGGGCAGTGATTCAAACTCAAGTGATGCTAGAGTTGTAATGACCACAACTGAACACAAGTAAATACAGTTTCAACTTATACTGCAGATAAAAATCTTCATTTTCATCTCTAACTAACCAAGGTGTTTTAAGAAGTAAAATACTTCTTACTGTAGCATCCCAGCTGGTCCTCTTATTCTTGACATTGCTATGTTCTGCAAGCACAAATTAAGGATTTGAACAAACTAGGGAGATTCAGCTAGATGGGATTGTGAATGTCAATGCTTTACAGAGGGCTTAATACTTTCCACCCTTAAAAAGATGGTAGTAAAATTTCTTTTGAAAAAGAATCAAGCTCTAATACTTTGATCAAAGGACATTAATGCTCAATGTCCTATTTTATAGTTCTGAATATCGAAGAAAGCACTTCCACTTATCATAGCAGAAAGACTGGCAAAGCTCCCTGCTTCATTCAGAGTAAGGATACACTCTGGACCATGTAAAACAGATGGTATTTTAGCCCAGATTATTTATTCCCCTGTGTAAAGTTGTGTTTATTGCTCTTCATATGCCTTATGTGGATAACAGAATTTGTTCCTTAGAGATGAAACAAAACTGCACACTATTATAATCTTTACTACATATGGCAAGAGTAACCACTGATTAACATGGGATGGCTCTCAGATGTGGTGAGCCAGTCCTTTTGCTCCTTCTACTATCAACTAATAAGCTAATCAGTACTGCCAAAGCCAAATCACAACCCACTGATTAAACCAGAAGACCTTTTCTGAACAGTAAATTTATCTCATGAAACATGAGTATAGCCCACTCCCTGGATTCCACTTGCTGCTTATGTTCTGCATGCAAATGATCTGAAGATCATTTCTGAATCTTAATGAAAATTGACAAACTCTACCTAACTGTTGAATCCCAAAGGCAATTTCTTATATTACTGAATTACAAAGATACTAGAATTGCTGACTTCATCATGGCACAGAACAGATCTTTCATGGGTTTGATCAATTCCATAAATTTAATGTGCAATTTTTTTTCTCCCCCTTTACAGTGTTACAAACCATATGGAGATAAATTATATAATGAGCCTACCCACATATCATTTTTAAACCTCTTTCTTGGCTTTGGAATGAATGGCACAAATTGCCTGATATGGAACAAAGAATTAAACACCATTGTAATCCCAGAATAGTAGCTTAGAAAATAATTGTTCCTCAGTAACAAAAGGCAGCAATAAAGAGTGTATTTTAAAAAGAGTTAGCCGAATAAGAAATTGGTTATTGACGAATACCATACCAGGATAAATACTTTATAAAATACATTATAAAAATCTAAAGAAAATCATAGGATTTGATATTGGGCAACCTATAATAAGCAAGTGTGAAAATCATACTGCTCAAACTGACATAAGTTACAAAATATTGAAATGTATAAACACTAGCTTAAGCAATTATGTTTTTCTGGAAATAGAAAAACACTATAAAAACTACAACTTGAATTGCCTTTCTGGCTGTCAAGTGATTTTCCAAGAACCACAGCAGCTTTTGATCAAGTTTATTACAAAAAATTGAAAATAATGTAAAGCAGAGCATTCTAAGTCATTTGTCTTCTAATAGTGCTATTCAGTGGAGTTCATTAGCATATCTTGAAGACAGAATTTGGAACAAGCTTACAGAGTGAATGGGAGAACTATTAAAACAACGCAAATACTCAAGAGTGCTTTGGAGAACATGGGAGTGAAGCTGCAGTGTGTCCAAATGCCTGAGAAGCAATGGAAGAAAAGGAAAAAGAAATAGATAATTTAACAATCTGGAAAAAGGTGTTTTGTGTGCTTTGGAACATAGGGGAGCTATATTCCAAAGCACTTCTTTTCAAGGATCCGCAAAGCCTTCATCTCTCTCAACTTACAGGATTAAGAAAAATACAGACAAATACTTTGAGAGTAACTGAGGCAGATAACAACATTATCTCATCCCCTTGTCATCACATATGCTTTTCAGAAAGGAAAGGAGAAAAACAGGAGAAGCTATTGCTTTTAAAAAAGACTTAGGCAAATGTATAGGTGATGCCACTCAAAATTATGACGTAATCCTGCTTTAAAGCCATTTCCCTCTCCCGCTGCTCTGCAGGAGGGCTTCCTAAGGTGCATTACATCAAGTTCATCAATGAGCTAAGGCAGAAATTTTGCCAACAACAAGCAATCTGCCGTCCTTATGCCACTGTGAAGCTAGAATCCAGCCACCCTAGTTAGGTTCATGGAATTAATTTGCACCTCATTTATATCAATGCTTTTGAACATAAATTTTGAACTATTTATCACACATCATGAAAGAAGGGCTGTTTAAAAAAAGAAATCTCAAGAAGAGATTGCTTATGGTAATAAAATACCTGATGATTAGGTAGAAAACTGGCTTTCTAACATGCATCACTATTTTGAAAGCTCAAGCATGTCAATAAATTAAAGAAAAAGTAAGGGAATGTCAAATGCCATGTGAAAGTACTCATTTATATGGTTTAGAAATATAAATGAATACATGAAGAAGATAGAGTCTTAAATTGGACCTATCATTCGGCAGAGTGAGAAATCTCAGTTGGGGGGCAGTGAAATATATAAGTTCTGCATATAGGGGGAGTGATAATTTCCTCACTGGTACAGTGTTCTGAGATCGGAGAACTACATGTTTAAGGATTCCATCCTTTCACTCTGTTTACTCTGATATGATACCTTTCAGTTTACATCAAAGTTCTCAAGCTGCTTCTGCACCAAAGGAATGAGAATTAGATATCCTATCTAATTGTGATGTTATTTCTCATATGCAACAAAAACACACATTCACTTTCGATGACTTGCCAAGAGCCACAAAACTGTTACTAGGTAACATGCCAAAATAGTTTACCTAAGATATAGATAAAGGCCCAATCTACTCTGGAAAGAGTGCCAAACTAAATTAGAGAAGCACATGGGGATCACACACTATAATAGGTGGTGGCTGCTTCACTTTCACACACTCATCCAGTCATTGAGATTGCTTCTGGGAATGGAATGGGGATTCCTTTACCTTCTACTATTGGTATCTTATGATTATATTAGCAATAGCACTTAGACATATACCATTTCACAGTGCTTTACAGCCCTAAGTGGTTTATAGAGTCGGCATATTGCCCCCAACAATCTGGGTCCTCATTTTACTGACCTTGGAAAGATGGAAGGTTGAGTCAACCTTGAGACTGTGAGGATCAAACCCTTGGCCGTCAGCAGAATTAGCCTGCAATACTGCATTCTAACCACTGCACTATTACAGCAAATATTACTTGGGTGTTTGTATGTACACAGAGAGCTTATGGACTGGAGACAAATTCCTTTGTGTCCAATCATACTTGGCCAATAAAGAATATTCTAAGATTCTAATTCTTTGCCAAAATCCACTCAAAACTGCCTTTCATAAAGTAATTAGGTATTAAGATAACATTGACAATGGAAATTATTTTGAAGCCTTGAGAAAATGGGGTATGTCCCCCTTTCCCCCTTTGTCTTAGCAATAGTAGATTGAGGAAGGGATCCCTGCCTGGGAAAAGAATTAAGTCATAGCTTGGGAAATGAAGATGTGGCTTTTTAAAGCACATGTATCACTTAGGGAACATACACAGGCCACTTTCAACCTATAAGCCACAGATTCTCCATTCCTGGCCTTGGATGCCTCTTGAGTTGATATTATACTGACAAAACAGAAAAGAAACAGTCTAAATTAATTTTTATTCTGGTCAACAACAGAATGTGCTTCGCAGCTCATTTCTATATAGTTAAATGATGCATTAAATATGTAGTATAATCTACCCTTCAAATTTTAATTTATGCTAGAGTGTACAGATCCGGAAGTCTTAAAAGTTATTTCCCACTCAATTTGCAAACTACATGCTTAAAACCAAGTCATAGCTGATGCATAACTAAGTTTATGGCAAAATATATTTTAAAAACAAGTTACACTGAAAAAGTTTTGTCATCCAAATACAGACACATTAAATACAAATAAACTATAGATTTGCAATTATATAGCCACCAACCCACATAATGCGCTACAATTCTGATAGATGAGTAGGACTTTTATGATAAATCTTATGTTTACTGAAATAACATTGAGTTCAATGAAATTTATTTGGTTCAGAACAACTGTGCACAAAACTGCAGGCTTTTTTCTCTTTTCTTTTTTAAAAATAAGATTCTCAGTCTCTTAATTATAATCTGAAAAATGCAAACATGCCCACCTTTGAGAGTCCTAAATTAAAGCTATATCATCATAATTACCAATTATAATAATCTAGTACAACTTACTCCCAAGCAAGTGATAAAAAATTGCAGACTCATAGTGCAAGCTTACACATGCTTACTCAGAAATAAGTTTCTAATATGATTTATTTTGTGATGTTTATATAGGATTGTAGCCTTACAAAATAATCATCCATGAACTTACTGGAAAATAAGCATTTTAACACTTAAGTAACCAGGTCCTTTTTCTAAATAAAGTGTCAAACTCAATTCATTTTCAGCTAGAACAGCCAAATTTTGATTCTTAGTCCTTGGAGGCTGATCAGATATTTTTCATTCCACAAAAGTTCAGATAGATTTGAGTTAAAAACATGCAAACCAAATGTATGGAAAGGTCTTTTACAAAATAACAGGAGACTTACTTGTGTTCAGTTTTTTAAAAACATGCCAGAAGATGCCTGATTTAGGGTGTTGGCAATATTTTTCAGATTAGTGCTAAAGCAAATCATAACCTATCTAAATAATTTTTATTACAAGTAGATTAGAAACACAATTAAATAAACAAATGATGGGAAAAGTTGAGGAGAATAAAGCAAAAACAAGCTAGAACTGGCCAGCATGCATTACTATTCTCTTTGTAATCATGCAATGTAACTGCCTCAGCTGTATTTACTCATCTGTAAGCCTCCCTGAGATCAAAGGGGTATTTTCAGATCAATGTATATAGTATTAGGGATGTTCCTGATGTATTAGAATCTGGATCTTACTGAAAAAAAGCTGTTCTTTTATCTTTAGTATGCAGAATATAAACTCTATGCCCCTTTACTCTGAAGGAACATTTGTGGCTGCATTTCCAAGCAATTTTTTAAAATGGAAGATTGTTTTGAACATATAGACTTATTTACCTGGAAAAGTTGTTAGCTGGGGGTGCGCTGCTAAGGCTATGGGTGTACCAAGTGACCCCAAGCCACCAAATTCTGTATGCCCTGAGCTGGCTGTATGTAGACCAAAGACTGGGTGGCTGACCATTGGAAAGGCACTCGACACTGTGGACAGGTTACACGGTTGATCCCCAGCTGTTCTGAATAAATGTCCTGAAGGGGGAAAAAAGCAACACTTGAAAAGGTCCTAGAAAAACACACGCTCCTCTTGAGATATTTCCGGCTTTGAGGGTTTTGAATTTGGGTTCTTCTATAGATTTCAGCAAAATCAGCAGCCATCAGCTTCAAGCCAATGGAATAAAGCTGGCATTATAAGGATGCTACTTTCTACGGCCATACTACCCTGAACGCGCCCGATCCCGTCTGATCTCGGAAGCTAAGCAGGGTCAGGCCTGGTTAGTACTTGGATGGGAGACCGCCTGGGAATACCGGGTGCTGTAAAATTTTTGGAGCTTCCGGTGGGAGGCGACGGCGATGGCGGCTAGCTTTTAGCCGTCCAGCTGGGGAAGTGTCAGAGCCGCGGAGCGCAGCGCGCATCAGCTGGCCCGCGGCTCGGAAATCCCTTCCCGGGCAAAGGGAAGGGATAGAGAACGCAAGAGTAGAGGTAGAACCCCTAAACCCCCTCTGGATTTATTTCTAGAGGGGGTGAAAGGAGTGTTCCCTCGGAGCTCTTGCTGATCTCCGCCTCCAAGCTGTTTTTGCTTCCTAGGAAGCAAAAGAAACCGCCGCTTCTATCTCCGTGTTTACAGCATTTTGGTGAGTAATTTTTAAACGGACGGAGCAGTTTAAAGGACATTTGTTATATTTTAGGTGTTTATTTTTTTATCTTTTGATTTTTACTATTTTTCCTCCTTTTCTTTGTTATACTAGTGAAAGGACTTAAGATGGCGTTTTGAAAGTGTCGGAGTTTTTTTTTACTTTCTCTTTTGTTTTACTTTCCCTTTTTAAGGATTGTTTTTTGCTTTTGCTTTTGCTTTTGGCTTAGAATTTTTTTTTTGAATTGTTTATTCTTTTATTACTTATTCTTGGGATTTATTCTGGACTTTTAATGATTATAGTTTGTCTCTTTTTAAAAATTCTTTTTTTCTTTTTTTCCTCCTCCCTTTTTGGCTGGAGGGGAAAGGGAAGTGACAATAAAATGGCTTCAAAGAGGCAGCAGCCTTCCTCAGACCCAAGGTTATTTCTTCTCCTATAACTTCCACTGCACAGCTACAACAACAATCTAAACATGACCACCGGCTCAGCCACCACCCTCCCCTCCTACCTGGACTTTCAGTGCAAGAGGTTATAATGGGAGAGATTGTAGTTCAAATGAGAGAGGAAATGACTCAATTTGTTTCACAGATTAAATCAGAAATTAAATCTGATCTCAAAGAAGAGATAACGGGGATAAAGTCTTCAAGAAAATAATAATGAATTACGACAAGATATACTGGCAGCACTACTGTGGTGGTTAAGCTCGATGCAAGGCTTGAGGAAGTCAAAGTTGACTCTTTAGATGACAAAATTCAAGACGTGGAAAGGAAGGTGGACTCCTCACAAGAAGATATTTTGATGTTTCCTGTGAGGATTAGAGGCCTCAAGGAAGATATGAATCAAGATTTGATGGAGGTGGTTCTTAGTGATCTGGCGCTGGCTTTGGATATGGATAAAGGAGAATTACAGAGAGAAGTAGAAAAAATTTATAGACTCAACTCCTGGATTGCTAAGCAGAAGAATTTGCCCAGAGATGTGGTGATTTACTTTACAAAGAAGTCCCTGCGGAATGAGATTATACAAGTTTTTTACAACTAGGTGGTACTATTGACATCACTTGCACATAGGAGAAATCTCTGTGCTTCTGAATGTTCTAATTATTTTAATTATCTAGGACAAAGAAGGTAGAACTCTGCCTGAAGAAAATGCACTGACTCTATACAAACAGGCACAAAACGGTAAGAAAGAAGTGATCTAAGGGCCTAGGAAAGAAAGAAATATCTAAATGACAGTAAGAGGCATTTCTTTCAGAACTCTTAGAATGCTACCAAGTTCAACTTCTGGTTATTTACTGTAATTTAATCTATAGAGTTTATCTTCAGGTAGCCATCTTTTCAGAGGTCAGTTATATTTGTCAATGTTACCTGGACAAAGTACCCAGATAAAATGCAGCCTGGCATGCTTTGACAGGCCAGCCATGAGGGCCAAGGGGGTGATTCCTAAATAGGTGTGGCCTTAACAATGTGCCCCAGATGGACTGCTGTGGTCCCTTCCTTACTCCCTCTGATCGTGGTTCTCAGCCATTCAATACAGGTAGCCCTTGACTTATGATCGCAACTGAGCCCAAAATTTGTGTTGCTAAGTGACAGTTGTTAAGTGAGTTTTGCCCCGTTTTACAACCTTTCTTGCCACAGTTATTAAGCAAATAATTGCAGTTATTAACTTAGTGACAAGGTTAAGAAAATCTCCCTTCCCCGTTGATTTGCTTATCAGAAGGTCACAAAAGGTGATCACATGACCCTAGGACAGGGGCCTTCAAACTTGGCCCTTTTATGACTTGTGGACTTCAACTCCCAGAATTCCTCAGCCAGGCACGCTGGCTGAGGAAGTCTGAGAGTTGAAGTCCACAAGTCATAAAAGGGCCAAGTTTGAAGACCCTTGCCCTAGGACATTGCAACCATCATAAATATGACTCAGTTGCCAAGTGTCTGAATTTGATCATGCGATGAGAGAATGCTGCAACGATCATAAGTGTGAAAAACAGCTGTAAGTCACTTCTTTCAGTGCCATTGTAACTTCAAATGGTCACTAAATAAATGGTTGTAAGTCGAGAACTACCTGTAGTGATGAAGATGAACCTGCAAGTTGCCAGCCCTTGTCCTAGACAGAACAGACGACATCCAATTTACCTGAAAAGGACCCACATTTCTCTTGGATTTTTTCTTTAGGATAGCTAATGTTTGTCAGTAGACAGCCAGAGATCAACCCTAATTAATTTTCCTATAGTACTCCAAGCTTCAGCAACTGCCCTAATCATCAGGAGTGGCTCCCAGGCCAAAAACCTAGTGGTGACTGATAATAACCATAACAATAGTCATAGTAATAAAATGCATCACACACCATTAGAGTGTGGGGAACATTTGGAAGCTGGCACAATAACAGCAACATGTGGTGTCCAGGCATTATATACTAAGAGCAAACAGATATAAACCAGAGGACGGGAGAAGAGAGAACAAAGAACAGCAAAGTTTACTCATTCTAGAAACAACAAAGTATCAACGCACTTGGCATTTCCCCCTCAATTATACTGTTTTTAAATTAATCAGGGTAGGCAAAGAGGTAAATGCCTGATCCCTTGAGTAAGGATTATCTTCAGGAGACAGACAGAGAGATTTAACGCACTAAATAGGTCCTCTGGTATGTTAAAGAGCCAGTCAGGATAGAAAAGGGAGAACAGAGTTGAAATCCTTGTTCGGCCAGGAAGCTCCCTGCTAGCCTAAGCTATTTTACAGGGTTGGTGAGAAAAAACACAGAGAGGCAGGCATTTGGGTCGGTAAGAAAAGGAGGAATATAAATATGTTAACTAACAAAACAATAGGGTATTGTTGTTAGCTACTACAGATAGTCCTCGACTTACAACAATTCATTTAGTGACCGTTCAAAGTTGCAATGGCACTGAAAAAAGTAACTTATGACTGTTTTTCTCACTTATGACTGTTGCAGCATCTCCATGGCCACATGATCAAAATTCAGAGGCTTAGCAACTGATTCATATTTATGACAGTTGCGGTGTCCCAGGTCATATAATTCCCTTTTGTTACCTTCTGACAAGCGAAGTCAATGGAGAAGCCAGATTCACTTAACAACCATGTCACTAACTTAACAACTATAGTGATTCACTTAACCACTATGGCAAGAAAAGTCATAAAATGGGGCAAAATTCATTTAACAAATGTCTCACTTAGCAACATAAATTTTGGGCTCAATTGTGGTCATAAGTTGAGGACTATCTGTACAACTTACCATATATATCCACAGACATAGATATTGATACATTTATACACTATACTGGCCTGATGTGCTTGTCCTATACAATAATCCTAATCACATGTTTTGTTCTTAGAGTTTGGAACTGTTTTGTTGTATTTATTATATTCTATTTATATTGCTGTAGATGCCCAAAGTCCTATTTTGTTATGAGTTTATTTTTCCCAAAAAACTTCCTACATGGAGTATGCAAACATGTACATATGCCTTTTTTATGATTTAAAAACATGAGCAATTGCTTATTGGAAGAAACTCCTCAAGAAAATTGCACAACACATATGCACATGCCTTAAAAAGCTATCTATTTCTTACCGGATATAATTTAAGTTTTGATACTAATCTTTAAATCCCTAAATGACTGAAAATTTGAGTATGGGACCATCTGTCTCATTATAATATTTTTTTAAGATCTGCAAGAGAGGCCCTTTTAAAGATGTCCTATCTCCAGTCAGAGGTCCGGGTTTCTAGCATTAGGGAGGGGGGGGGATTTTGGTGTTAATTTTAATCTCTCTCAGTTTTTTTAAATAAGTATTCTGTTCGTATTTACGGTTTTGTTAAACTTTGTTAGGTACACCTTGAGTATCTACTGAACAGAAAAACAAGACATAGATCAAACCAACTCACATATAAATACTGTAACAGCAACTTAGTTATATTGCTACTTGTAAAAAGTGCTAACTTTCGCAACTTGAAAATTGCCACTGAATGGCTCCTTGTATTAGGTAAATCAGGGTTCCCCAACCATGGCAACTTTAAGACTTGTGGACTTCAACTCCCAGAATTCCCCAGCCAGCCTGGGGACCCCTGAGGTAAATCACCAGGAATCAGAGCCAAGTAAGTCAGTCCTTATTAGTCTGCCAAAATCAATTGTCCCCATTTCTGAGACAGATAACCATTGTAGAGAAGCAAAAAGAGAACCTTGGAGAAAATACGCAACAACCATAGCAAAACATAAACTCACCCAGAGAAAACAGGAATGAGAGATTTAAAATTGCCCTCCTTGACTCTCTTTGATATAAAAGGGAGGGAAGAAGAAATCCTACCAGGCTTTCAAGATTCAAGACTACTACACTTGAATAATAAAAAAAAGAGTTCTACTATTTTTAGTGAAATCAGTTTCCTGACCTACT